AGCTTTTGACTCCGGTTTTCTTCCCAAGTGCGTGTGAGAGTGGGTACTTAGTCTTAAGCCTCATTACTTCGTATATCTTTGATTGCTTTTGTGAAAATCGATATTGTGCTTGTGTTGCTTGGAGGAAAAGATTGAATCATTAGATCGTGAATGCTTGACTAAGTGTGATTAGGAGTTGAATACTTGCTTGTCTCGTGCTAGAGTTGGGTTTAGCTTCCTAGGGTTTTAGCTAGCATGGCAATGTTCGGTTATTTGCGTGTGATTGATCATGGAGACTCCGGCAAACCAAAATCTCTCTTTTCCCCTTGATTTCTCTCATCTTTTTGCGTGCTTTACTTGCTTTCGATTTCAATTTCGTAGATTAGCTTAGTTTAATTCAAATCCTCAATTTGCGAGTAGAATGTTTAGGACCTTTTTGGTTGTGTGACTTTGACGACTAGGTGGTGAACGAAGCTCCGAAGAGCCTTCCTTTGAGAACGACCCGAGTCGGGTAGCTCGGTTACCACATGCCCAAAAAAATATACTCAACAATGACGACCCACTTATCTACATGCAAAACAACAAAACGTGGAACTTATTTAACCAAACATAATTCTCATTCATCAAGGAATAACAAGTGTAATATCCACTAAAGCAAAGCTTAAGTATATAACACCAACAGCTAGGGCTGGTATTTTTTGACCAAAAAATGGAAATTGAACTGGATCGAACCGAAAGAAAATAAACTGATTAACTGTAACTGAAAATCAGTTAGCGAAATGTTATCGATTAGGTATCGGTTCTGAACCCTGTAACCCATTATGTTGTGTCTTTTACCCACTCTCAACTAATTTTCTGGTTTCGCCCCCGAATGAGCCTAGTTTATAAGTTTAGTGGACTACTCCTCTCATCACTAATTGGTTTTTGGATGGAACCTCACTTGAGCTTCATTTGAGCTGACCCTCTTATGTGTGCGTTTCACCTGTGTGGGACCACACACGTTTTCCCCCGTTTGACATGAAGATAATGTATAAAATTGTGTAATGATGTATATATTTAAAAAAAAAAAAAATTCTCACACAGAGTCAAGTAGATGGTTTTGCTATGAAGTCATCCGATGGTTTGGCTTATGGAGTCATCCATAGTTATTAAAAAATGGTGTATTGACACATGTCATGTGATAAATACAGACTGGACACGTGTCATTATATAAAGGTATGGATGGCTCCATAAGGGAGCCATCCGGAGCTCCCACACGTTCGATCCGGTGGATGTCGTCGGAAATACGGTGGTTTAAGGTTAACACGGTTGGTGCCCATAACATTACAACAGGAATGAGCTATGCGGGAGGACTTGTTCGAGATGCTTCGGGAACTTGGACCGGGGGTTTTCTTATGAATATCGGATTTTGCACTATTACGGGCGCAGAATTATGGGGCCTCTTTCAGAGCCTACAGTTAGCTTGGGAGCTGGGTCATAGACAAGTGGTCGATGAGGTGGATAGCCTTTGCGTGCAAAAAATAGTTTGTGGTAACAAGGATGAACTCGGGCCCCATGAAGCGTTGGTTAAGGCCATTCGGAATATGCTCCAACGAGATTGGACTGTTCTCGTACAGCACTAAGGAGGCTAATTTTGCGGCTGATCATATGGCAAGCCTAGCAGCATCGTATCCGCCTGGATTGCACCGAATCACCTCCCTCCTGTGGGGTTGGGTCCGTGGCTTTAACATGATAATATTGGGGTGTCTTACCCCCGTCGAGTACTAGCTTAGGCCAATGGCCGTCTTCTTTGTACCAAAAAAAAAAGAAAAAAGAAAAAAAGAATTGATTATCTTGTAAATTATAATTGGTTATTATTATCTTAGAACTTAGAAATTCTTATGTTATAAATTAATATTGCTTAACTTATATAATTAGAATTTATTATCAAACCAGAGTTGTTTGTGAGAGCTTTTTACATTGTGAAATCTTGGTAAACTAAACTATTTGTGGAACTGAAAATCAACTTTACTCCCACATCACAAAATTAGAAAATATACCAAGAATGAGTGACATTGTACAAGAAAATTCACACTCGATCAGCTCGCATATATTCATTCTAGGAATCTAGTTCAATGAGGTGATGCCAGCCAGCTGGTTTACACAAAACTACCAGATTATGCCCTTATAAACTGATAATCACACGTTCTTATCAATTAAATTTGTCACCATAACATTCAGCTTTCTTTGCAGCACCTGAAGATCAACACTGGGATTATGATTATCCAGCACCTGCCCATATTATATACAGCCAACCAACAAATAGTTTTCAAGCACTTTAACATTATACAATATCGCTTTGCAATGAAAATGTACAAATTAACACAACACACAAAGAGAGAACTTGTCATCAGTTGTTTGTACGTACCTCGGATTGGATCACATAATTCAAACTCTCGTCACAGTTAGTCGAATTGCAAGAGACGGGGCCAAGCCCTTCTTCAAGCAGCAGTTTTAGGATTTTGGAAACGGGAAAAGAGAAGCCTTCTGGCATTGAATCGCAACGTATCAATACCTCAACACCAACACAACACGGCTGAACCGTAACAAAAACGGGCCGAGTCAGTTGGCTACTAATAAAGCCTCCCGGACCAGACTCTTGTAAATCGGCTCGGGACATTATCTTTATGTTGTCCCTCTTCGTTCCAAGTTCCCTAATGTTATCCTGCACACATCCTATGTACTTCTTCGCCTCATCAAGTTGGTCGCAAATCGACCTCTTGCCCTTTTTGAATTTTTAAAACATTCTTGTTATAAACACATCTTAACCAAGAAGCCAAAAAATTTTGGCCTAGTAAAATTCATCACATAATACCTAAAGTACGGTGCAATTGGAGAAGCACTATATTTTGAACATTTGGCCATATTTAAGACAAAAATAGAAACCTAAAGTGAAAAAGGTAAATTCTTTTCGGTTTACCTTGAGAAACTGCGGAGGGAGAACCGAACGAAGAGAAGCGTAGAGTGTCGACATTTCGTGCCGCCTTTGCCTCTCGATATCTCTGTGCATTTTCTTTTTTTGAGCTTCTTGATTTGAAGTGCCACCCTCACTAACAGCTTCCTGATATTGCTTTGGCTGTTTACCTTTGCTACTACTATTACTATTATTATATCCAATATTACCTAATCCTTGTGATGCTTGGGGAAAACCAGGATAGGAGATCATAGGATTCATGCCCACATCCCATGATGATACCGTGAAATCGGGACAGCCGGTGGCTGAAACATCGTCGTCTTCTTGAAACCTGAACATTGAAAATGAATTGTTTTCCATCTTTATTGGAGTAATTTGATGTTGGAAATTAAATAATAAAAAGCACTGGTGGCATGGAGGTTATATATATATATATATATATATAATACAGGAAAGTATGAACTGGGGGAACATATATTTTAGGGTTTGTGAGTTTTTTCGAGATCTCGACTGGTTTAAATAAATTCGATGATGGCTTTTGATGATTCTTGATAATTTTGATGTGTTTAAACATTATTATAAGACGGTGATCAAAGTCTATCTCAATGATATCACTGTTGATATGGCGACTCGCTAGCTCGTGTGTATTTTAATTAGTTTAATAACCAAAAAGAATAAATAATTATAGATTTGAAATTAGAATATAGAATAAAAATTCAAGGCAGCAGGATTCCTAATTAAATTCACACACATCTTGTGGGGCCCGGCTTCTTTATTACCAACAATGCCTTTACACTTGTCATCTGTGAATATAAAACTCGGTAATGATTTTTGGACAGCATGGCCCAAATCATTTAGGGAGCTAGCTAACATATATATTTTTTTTTTAGTTTTATTTTTAACAAGAATAAAGGCTAAAGCCTAAGCAACACTAGAGTGGTACTCGAAAGGGATAAGCCACGCCAATAATACCATGCATCAGCCAAGAATCAAACTCCGGCGACGGATTCTGAAGACGGTGATAGCCAGGGACACCTGTAGCCAATGCAGCTAAAGCATCGGTCGAGAAATTTCCTTCCCGATTGATGTGAGAAGCTAACATATATTTTATATGACTTAGTTTGGGATCATTATTAATTTTAGTATGGGATCGTTATCACCTAAAAGTTTTGGTTGTGAGTTGAAGAATATTGATTCAACATATAGTTAATATATCATCAAGTAATAGTTTTTAATTTTTTTTTCCAAGTAATTAATTAATTAATTACTCTATTGTAAGTCTTGTAATTTAATCGTCACAGTGTCTGTGTCGACCACCAATTTGGAAACTTTGAAAGTATTTCAAGAAAAATGAGAGAATGTTATTTCTAATAGTAATATAATTATAATTTATATCTACTACATTATTATAATTATAATAATTAAAGGGAGCATCATTAATTTCGACTTTGAAGATATGTAGGAATGACTTAGTTGTAGGGCTTGGCAATAATATTGTACACACTGTCCATGATGAGTTGGTGAGTGTAGATAAGCTGCAAATCATGTGTCACCATACGACACGTCATATATATTTGAATTCATTGTGACCCGAGTCAGTAAATAGAAAGGGGACGGCCAGGAGACAATAGAGCATACATATAAGTGCATTTATGAAAATCTAGTGTAATTGTTTGTATGATCTATGAAGTCATGTACTGTGTATAATATTAATATCGAGCAGAGTCGACCTCGAATTCATGAAACTAGAGTTCGAGACCTTATGGAGTCGATAAGCGCCAAACTCATTGCTGAAAGTTTGAAACGAGTTCAGCTACATTATACGAGCCCTAATTAACGAGCTCGAGTTTGGTCTGTTAATGAACAAGCCGAGCTCATTGCTGAAAGTTTAGAAAGAGTTCAAGCTCAGCACACGACTTATCAAACAAGCGAGCCGAGCTTGAGCTAATTTTAACTAACCAAGCTCACGAACACCTCGTTTTAATTGCTTAACAACTCTATATATACAACACAACCACCTCAATCCAAGAATATTCTCAGACAAATTGAACGAGACCATACAGGCCGTACTCATTCTTAATTACAGGAAGCTCGTAATTAATCACACAGATTATCAAAGTTAAAGCTATGTATTTAGCCGTACTTTGCATTTTGGGAGTACAAATACCTTTTATAATCATCATCATATTCATCCTGTAATTGCTTCATGTTGACTCTGGGGAAACTAATTACATTATTATCGTTATTATTATTACAATTATGAGCCACGAAGAAAGCATTATTATTATTATTATTATCATAATTATTGTTCTTATCTTCAAGGATTTTATCAATATTATTAAGGATGTAGGGTTTCCAAACACCAACTCATCTCCTGGTTGTAAGGAGAACATAATTGTTAAATTGTTTTTAATTTTTTTTTTTTTTTTTT